TGCACCTTTATTTCTGGCTCAATTACTGGACTACCTTCAACAGCAATGTAATGTGACCTGAAGATACTAAAAGTGGGTCACCTTGATAGTGAAGATGCTGAAAAGTTTCAAGAAGTTGTAAAGCACCATAAAAATTTAGAAGTGGTCTCAAAATACAATTATTCAATCTAATTCACATAGCTGTGTTAAGTCATACATTTTACATAGTTGGTTTCATTATTATTTACAATAGAATCTTAACATTTGTAATTATCATTAGCAATGTGACCTGAGATGCTTTAAACTAACTTATGCATATCAGTAATTCTCTTTGATGTACATTTGGCTGGTATTTGTTCATTTATAATGAGGTTTGGAGCCCACTCATTGCACAATGATAGCACAATCTCACTATCATAACAAAAGCCCACATACACAATGCATGCATACCGTATAGCGGAAAATTTTCGTGGCCCAAAATTTTTGTGGATTTCGCGTTTTTTGAAAACCCACGAAAATAAAATCTGCGAAAATTAATTTACGGTTTAAGATGGCCGAATTGTAAAAAAACCACGAAAATTAAAGCCACGAAATTTATTTTTGGATGAATCCACGAAAATTTTAGGCCATGAAAATTTTCCGCTATACAGTAGTATGGCACAATCATTATTCCACAGTTAGTTTAAATGAGTTGAACTATGTTTGAAGGTGTCCACACTATTTGGAACTCTTTGGGCTTTGCCTTTCGATTCCAAATAGTGTGGACTCCTTCAAACATGATTTAACATATATAAAAGTGGGTCACCTTGATAGAAAACTTTCAGAGAGTTATACAACGCCATAAAAATTTAGAAGTGGTCTCAATTAGGTCTGAAACTTATGATAGGAACTTTATTCAATGTTTATCAGAACTAATATATCAACCATGCTTCCAGCAATTGCATATCAAAGACTACTCATGTACAGATACCCCTGGTACATCATCCACTTCATTTAATGGTGTCCATTCCTTACTGTCTGCATTCTTCCTCTCTCCTTATCCTGTCACACTTAGATTGAATAAGGTTACATTTGATTCTAGTGATCCTCTAGCTATTAACACTGAACAACAATCAAAATCACTTGATGTAGCTCTACTTAATACACCGTAACACGATTCATCTCATATTCTTGAGTCTAATTTTCTTCCTCAGTACATTGTATTGAAATCATTGAAGATTAGGAGCAATGATGCACTCTGTTTATTTTCTACAGTGAAATCAATCAAAGTAGATGAGATCACTATTGATATTGACACTGATAGTTTAAGATCATTGCTCAGTTACATGTCAGCAAATGATTCGACTCTTTTTATTAATGAAAAAGACATACATCAGTCCACTCTTGCTCTTGAGATAATTTCAATTCACTGTCACCAACTAAACCACCTTACCTTCAATTGATAGTAAAGTACAGTGGAGATGATCCTTTACCAATATTGTATGATACTTGGAAGAGATGTGGTGCTATCAAACTGAAGAAAACTGTAATAGTTAATAAGTATGGTAAGAAAAAGTATCTTGAAGAGATGGTGTGAAACTAATAGATTGATTGATATTTGATGTCTCAATTAAGAGCTAGTTAACAACTTAAATGTTAATACTTAACTTAAACATTTTATGAGTTGTGTTCATATTTATGTATATCATACATTAGCATCAATTAGTTATTTAGTTATTTAACAGTATATGGGCACATAATTAACATTATAAACATTTTCATTTTTATTAATTTTGTGTAAAAGACAGAAAATAGAGGAAGAAAGATATCTAAGCTATCACTGACATTAAAGATTCAGCAAATTCTCTTGTTTAAAGTTAAGTGCAAGTACTAATTAAAACAAAGGATATTTAAACACTATAACCCTACAAAAACATTGTAAATAATTAACTGTAACCATGCACAATAAATAATGTGTACTATGCAGTTGCGTGTATATTCAATGCATTGTAAACTGTTGTCAAGTTATTGGTTATCCTGCCTATATGTGCCATTTATGAGATTATAAGGCTAGCATTACATTTTTATTAACTATTATTTGCTAAGCATGTCAGTGTGTATGTAGAACATGTGCCTGATTATTTTTATCTTTTCCTCTCTCTCTCTCTCTCTCTCTCTCTCTCTCTCTCTCTCTCTCTCTCTCTCTCTCTCTCTCTCTCTCTCTCTCTCTCTCTCTCTCTCTCTCTCAGTTAATGATAATCATGAGGTGTGTATAGTGTATGGATAATAAATTCCTAATATGGTAACAATGAATAACTAAAAAAACTGATCACACAAGATGTCATTAGAGGACAAGTGTTGGGTTGCTTTTAAAGGAGATCATGAAGAAGCTGTTCGATTACTACCATTAGTGAAGAAACCAAACAAGATTAAAAGAGCACACATATGGGATAATACTAGTTTACTTCATTTGTCTTCGTGGTATGGCTGGTTAGATGTTACAAAAGATCTTATCACTAAATATCACTGTGACCCACATGAAAAAAATGGTGGAGGTCAGACTTGTCTTCATTGGGCTGCAAGAGGTAATTCTGTTGATGTGATGAGATATCTCATTGATGAGTGTCACTGTGATCCAAAGGTTCCCGATAAAAATGGAGGTACTGTTCTTCACACAGTAGCTAATCATGGATCACTTGATTTCATGAAGTGCTTGATCAACTCTCATCATTGTGATCCAAAGGCTACTGACAATGAGGGTGAGACTGTTCTTCACTGTGCTGCTAGACACATTGATGTTGTAATGTATCTCATTAATGAGTGCCACTGTGATCCAATGGCTACTGACTTTAACAAAAGAACTATTCTTCATGAAGCAGCAATTTGGAATTCACCTGATGTAATCAAATATCTAATCAATGAGTATAACTGTGATCCAATGGCTGTTGACAGGTGGGAGCGGACACCTCTTCACCTTGCTGCGGCTATTTTTCGTGGTAATCCTGCAGCTGTTGAATATTTATTATCAACAGGTAAATGTGATCCATTGATTAAAGATATTGACGGGGACACACCATTTAAACTAGCTAAGTAGAGTGGGGATACTGATACTTTTTCTGTCTTTAAGAAGTTTGGTGGCATTAAATCATCCCATCCAATTGATTCTTATGTTAACGTCCTCCTTGTGGGTAATCCTGGAGCTGGTAAAAGTACTCTTAGTCATGTCATCAATGACACAGCTAGTTTTACTCTTCTTGGTTCTTTTAGAAATGTTGGAGGGGTAGTGCCCTGTACTGCTGGTATCATTCCTTATAAACTAAAACACAGGACACTGGGTAACATCATTCTTCATGATTTTGCTGGTCATTCTGAATACTACTCCAGTCACAGTGCTGTCATTGAGAATCTGTTACAAGGTTCAGGCGGTGTGTTCCTGATAGTAGTCAATATATTGGAGAAGGAACCAGTCAAACAACTTCATCAGTGGCTAACAGTTGTTGGAAATGAAGCACAAAAAGCTCTTAATCAATGCCATTTTATTGTAATAGTCAGTCATGTGGATGAGATATTTATTCCTTTTGAAAGGAGAAGGAGAAAGGAGGAAATACAGGAGATTATTGTAAGGGAAAGGTGTGATAGTGTCTTCTTAGATTGTCGTAAGCTTGGTGGGAGTGGTGTGGATTCCTTCTTTAATAAGCTGTCTAGTGCCTGTGAGTCCATTCGTAGTACAAGTGGAAGGAATTTGAGTCTTTATTGTCACATGATGTATGGTCTACTGGAGGAAAGGAAAGAGAATATACTGACCTTCTCTGATGTAATGTCTGCTGGTAAGGACAATGACGATTACTTTATACCAAATAAGAGAGAAGATGTCTTGGATGTTCTTGATTCATTGCACTCAACTGGTTTGATCAGTGTTCTTAAAAGTGAAGACAAGGTATGGGTTGTTGTGAATAAGGGTATACTACTAACTGAGGTGAATGGGATTCTCTTTGCTCCAGAGACATTCAAAGAACACGTTGACATTGCTAGCAATATTGGTATTGTTAGTGTGTCTGGTCTGACTAGACTCTTCCCTAAATATGATCCTGACATGTTGATCTGTTTCCTAAAGAACATGGAACTCTGTCAACAAATCAATCCATCTTTCCTAAGAATGACAAACCTTCATCAGTTAGCAGTGGAAGAGGAGGAGGAGGGAGGGAGAGAAAGAAGAGGAGAAAGGTTGCTGTTCTTTCCGTGTCTTTCGTCTACTGATAGACCTGATGAGATGACTAGTCAAGTGTACCAGTTTGGTTGGTGTCTACAGTGTACTAGTAAACATCATTTCTTTCCTCCTCGATACTTCCACGTCCTCTCATTACGTCTCGCTTACAAAATGGCTCTACCTCAAGAAAATGACAAGTTAAATCGTTACTGTACATTTTGGAAGAATGGACTTTATTGGTCTAATGGTCATGGTGTAGGATCACTGGTAGAGATTGTAGATGAGAGCCAGTGTGTACTAGTAATAATGTTCTGTGAGAAAGGTTACAGTGACAATATGGTGTCACTAAGAAGAGATGTGATAGGAGAGGTAATGAGTGTTTATAAAGAATCCTGTCCCAGTCTAGAGGTAAAAGAGTTAGTTATTGATCCTAAAGAACTAGCTTATCCAATGAATACACCAAGAGAAAGGACAGTGTATAGTGTAAAAGCTGTACTCTCAGCAGTAGTTGAACAACGACCATTTCTTGTCACCACTGGCACTAGACGTACAGAATTGAAGGAAATCCTACCTAATGAATCATTATCAGATATTAGTAACCTGTCACTATTAGGAGGACGTGATATTAAGGTAAGAATTAACACACACAAACTATTTAATGCATTTCAAAGGTCACATCTTAAATGTAATTAATTGCTTATCAAAACACTCTGACTTCTTACTCATAATTGTGGGTTGTCACTGTGTGGCTTTTATATACTTGTACACCTGTTCAACTCACCTTTCAGCAATACCAAATATCAGTTATTATTATTGTACAGGAAGTGATTGAAGTAACTGAAAAATTCAAGACACCATTGACTCCAATAAAGCTAGGTATGTTATAATATGTACTATCACAATTGTCAAGTAGTGGGAGTGTAGACTGTACAGAGTATACCCACACATTATTAATTATTATTTTTATAGATATTAAAGATCTTGATATTGTCATTAAAGAATTAACATCAGATCAACACTTGTCCTGTTCTGTATGGCACAGACTAGGTCTACAGTTAGGATTATATGATCCTAGACTAGTGGATATAGATGAGAGACACAGAGGAGATCCAGTAAAATGTTTCCATGTTTGTATGTCTGCCTGGTTAAGAGGAGAAGATAAAGTGAGAGAGAAAGGAGGTCCTAGTTGGTCATCATTAGCTACAGCACTGGATACAATAGAAGGGAAATCTATTGCTACTAACATTAGAGATAAATATTGTACATCAAACCAGTTAATTGCCTAGTTCTTTTGTTTATTGAAATTATTATTTTCTATTATCACTTATTTTGTTAAGATGGCTGCCTATAGTATCTTACTTTGTTCTGTTTATAACCAATAATAATACCATGATCATC